AATTCTTTCTTAGTTATAGTACCTTGAGATTCATTAACATAAACCCAAATGGCCACCAAAGACAAGGAATCTAAAAGTGTCCAGCGGTAGCATCTGCAATAATTGAGGCATCTGGTAATGTTATAAACTGCTTTCTGGAAGAACGTGGTAAGCTGGAATGAGACAGGGGTAGTGAGCTGGAGTAAGGCAGGGGTAGTGAGCAAAGACTGGGTCCACCAGCTTTCATTTACTGAGAGCACTGTTGTAGGCCCTTACATATTTCCAAAACAAAAACCTGCACCTTGTGCCAGAGTTCCATAAATAAATAGAAATCTTTCATGGGAAAACAAGGAGTTTCAGTTTGTTGTCTGTGCTACCATGGTATGCTAAGAACTTTCCATTTGTTATTGCTTTGGAGACTTAGAAATTCAAGCTTCCTTCCTTGGCCACCAGAACCAGTCAGTTAAGGTGCATCTCTAGATGTTAGGGAAAAAAATGGGGCACCAAACACATGCAAAATCTTCCCTTTGGGAAACACTGATTCTCTGAAGAGGAAGAGTGTAAAAATTGCTTAAAATTTATTTTTAGAAGTGCCTGTCATAGAGGCAGACTAGTGGATGGGAGAGAAACTAGGGACACCAGTGGAGGTAAGCAGACATTGGTGAAGGGACTGGTTTTGGAATATTGTGTATCCGGAACCCAGTCTTAAATAGCTTTGTAATTCATGGTGACTAATTTTTTAAATGGTAACGACCAGCTGGAGTGAAGCAGAGAGCTTAAGGATGGTGCCTGATAGTGTCCCTCCCTCTAGTATCACAGCAGACCCCCTAGACATGTGTTAAATTAGATACCGGTCCCTCAGATGGAAGCTATAAATAAATGACTCTTTTACATAAAGACTGGCACCCTTGAATTAACTACTTCTGCAATGGGCCTTGGAGTATGAGTGGGAACCTATGAGTGTGTGTGTGTGTGTATGTGTTTGTGTGTGAATGTGTCTTTTAAAAGCCACTTGTAGCATTATTAAAGCAAGTTCCATGGTTTTCAAAGCTAGAGGTCTGGGGATATTATCTTTCTGGTGAAGTCTATGTTGTCTGAAATAAGTATGGTCACACTGGCCTTTTAAAGGGTGTAAACAATATTTACTTGAAATATTGTTTCACAGTCTTTGGATTTGATCTGTGTTTGCCGTGATATTCAAATGTGTGTTTTATGGGCAGCAAAAAAGTTTGGTTCATTTTTCTGATCCACCCCTGCCATTCTCTGTCTATTGATTTGTACATTTAAGCCATTGACATTGAATGATATTATTGATATGAAGCTTTTTGCTTCTGTAGAAGTTAGGCTTGTTTGTGAGTTTTATCTTGCCTTATAGAAGTTGCTTCAATGCTCCTTGGGAAGTTCATTTCAAAGCTATGAAGTTCCTAAACTTTTGCTTTTCCATGAGGCTTTGTATCATTTCTTAAAATAAGATAGTCTAGCTGAGTAAAGTATTCTTGGTTAGGGTGTTCATTTCATTTTTTTCAAAACTATATCCCACCATTTTCTTCTGGTCTGTGAAGCCAGACTATTAATCTGTAATTAATTTATGTAATTTCCTTCTTAAATCTTGTTTCTTTCATTATTCTAACCCTATCTTTGACTTTTGTCATTCTAATTATGATGTATTTGGAGTGTTTTTATTTGGCTCTCTTTTGGCTGATACACTCGAGGTCTCTTATATCTGGGTATATGCACTCAACTCTCAGAATTCCTTAGTCAATTTCTTTGACTAATAATTCTTCATCAGAATTGCCTGACAGTTCTTCATAGATTTTGATGATTTCTATGTTATTCTTCCTGAACTCATCTCATAATTCTCTCATGCGTGGTTCATTTGAGACCTTTGAGTTTCTTATCTCACCTACCAAACTCTTTAGCTCTGCCATTTCTTATTGTATTTTTCTCATTTCTGACCTCATGCTTTCTTGTACTTGTTATCATTGTTTCTTTGAGATCATTAAGCATCATCACCATGCTTTCTCTAAATATCTTATCTAAACCGGGTAACAATCTGAGTTCCTGAGAACAGACAAAAGGATAAAGAAACTATGGTACAGCTACACGATGGAGTACTACACAACTGTTAGGGAAAATGAAGTCATGAAATTTGTCTATAAACGGATGCACATGGAGAGTATCATGCTGAGTGAAATGAGTCAGAAGGAGAGTGACAGATACAGAATGACTCATTCATTTGTGATATATAAAAACATATACAGAAGACAAATATTCACATCAAGGGAAAGCAGGAGGACCAGACAATGGTTGAAATCATCCACAAGTTTGTATGGGGAAGAGGGTAGGTAAGATAGAGAAAGAACCAGTATGACAATAATAGTTGGAAATGATCACACTGGACAAGAAATGAATGTTAAAACTAGGTAAAGGGATATACATGACAACCTAACAGTATCTGTATTGCAAACCACCATGCCTGAAAGGAGAGAGAGAGTGAGAGAGAAAGAGAAGAAAAGTGCCTGTCATAGAGGCAGGTTGGTGGGGGAGAAATGGGAAGGAAACTGGGGACACTGTTGCTGGAAAATGTATACTGGTGGAGAGATGAGTGTTACTGGAACACTGTGTGACTGAAACTTAATCATGAACAGCTTTGTAGGGTCTATCTCACTGTGATTCAATAAAAATATTTTTAAAATCTTTAAAAATTAAAGTTCTAATCTGAGAGATTAGAAGCTTGTTAGGACTGGTTGAGTCTTTTGAACTACTACACTCTCAAAGCATGGTGCTATTCAGTGCTTCTTCCCCATGTTGTCTGTTGCAGTCTGGGGTTGAGTCTAATTCACCACTGGTGCCTCTTTGCCAGGGAGCTCTCTGGAGAAACCAGCTGGATATTGCTTTTTGCTTTCCCTGTTAGAGATCTCCCAACCAATTTTGTTGTTACTAAATAGCTGTTTAGAATTTCATGTGAAGATTCCAGGCAGGGTTTCAATGTCATTAGCCCTGCCATTACTCCAGCTGCAATTTAGGGTTCTTTGATTTCTTACTCTCATAGCTGTTTTTGTGGAAATAGGTGGTTGGAGCTAGAATTAGATTATTGTTAGCATGGTGTGGTTAGGGTCATCCAAGTCACACCAGAGTAAGTTTAATGTAAGAGTCCATCATTTGTTCCTGTGAGAGGTGGAGGAAGTTATTGCTGCCACATGCTTCCGGGAAGCCTGAAAGATTTTCATATTTTAAGAATAAATGGAGCTGGAGAGTGCAGTGCCAGGGAAAGGTGCAGTTTTTCTGATGTGGCAGTGGATAGGATGGTAGTTAGTATCATCAAGTGTCCTAGGGTCAAACTTCCAATGGTCTGCCGGGAAATCAGGATGAACAGGGTCATCACATACTGTTCTGGGGAAAAGCACGGTGTTCCTGACCTGGGGCTAGGAAGAGATGGTGGTTCCTGTTGGCAGGAGTCCTAGGGTGGGTCTTCAAACAGTCTTCTGGGAGGATCAAGAGGAATAGGACTGGCACACACTATGGCTGGCAAAGGCACAGTCCACAATTTTTTTTATCATCTATTCTTGGGCACTTGGATTGTTTCCAGATCTCAGCTATTATAAAAAGTGCTACAATGAATAGAAGGCAGAAATATATTTTCAAAATAGTATTTTGGGTTCCTTGGAATATATAATGAGGGTTGGGATTGCTGGGTCATATAAAAGCTTAATTCTTAGGTTGAGTTTTGTCTATATTGTTTTCCAGAAACGCTGAACCAGTGGACATTTCCATCATCAGTGGACAAGGGTTCCTTTCCCCTCTACATCCATGCCATAACTGATTGTTTTTGTTCTATGTATACCAATCTCAATAGTATGAGGTGATATCTCATTGTTATTTTGACATGTATTTCCTTGGTGACAAGTGAGGAGGAATATGTTTTCATATACTTGTTGGCCATCTCTAGAGTCTTCTTTGAGTAGGTTCTTTGTTTGTCTCTGGGCCACACATGGCAATACTCAGGGGTTACTCCTGGCTCTGCACTCAGAAATCACTCCTAATGGTGCTCTGGGGACCATATGAGATGCCATAAATCAAACCTAGGTCAGTACATGCAAGGCAAGCACCTTACCCACTGTACCATCTGTCTAGCCTAAGCAGGTTCATTTTTGATGAAATTATTTGGTAGTTGCCATATTTTACAAGTGTTTAAATGATTTTTAATTTTAAAAGCACCCTCTTTTTAAGCATCCTACTTTCTATAAGTAAGTAAAACAAAGAGGTGGAATATTACTTTCCAAAATTCACAGAGCTAGTTAGTACAGAACCAAGACTAAATTTTAGATCCTCTAAGTCTAGGTGTTTTGCCATTCTATAACCACTTGGTTTAAGCAGTTCAGCAAGGCCTTGGAAAGAAATTATTTTTGTTTTTATTTGTTTGGAGGGGCCACATCTAGTGGCACTCAAGATTTACTCCTGGCTCCGTACTCAGGGATCACTCCTTGTGTAGCTTGGGGGATCATATGGGATGTTGGAAATTGAACTCAAGCCAGCTACATGCAAGGCAAGAGTTCTATCTCTGTACTATGTCTCCGACCCATTAAAAGAAATCTGAATGACTTTAATAGTAACAGTAATTTATTATGGTAATTTTGGAGAACAACATTTCACAAATTTTTGAAGTACTGGTATAAAAGATGCCTTCCTTTTGCAAGTTGTGGGGCCTTTGGGACATTCTTTTAGAATAAACTTTGATATAAAAATTCCTTTACTCCTGTCTACTCCCTTTTTTTAAAAGTGGGTGATACATGCTATTTCCCACACTTTCTTTGAGTCTGAGTGTGCAATTTCAAGTAGATTTATGGTTTCTAGAATTAGGGTGGTTATCTAGTGAGAACTCAGGTTTTGCTATATTTAGAGAATTGAACATCTTATGACTCCACTCGCCTCTAATGTGTGTGCATAGATATGTATATTAGGGTAATGAGAGGTGACTGGTACACTGCATTCTCTCTCCTACTCCCCTCTCCTCTCTCCAGGTATCGGAGTTTGAAACAATTTAACGTGGACATCTGCCAGACTTGCTTCTTGACAGGCCGCGCTAGCAAAGGAAACAAGCTGCACTACCCCATCATGGAGTATTATACCCCGGTATGGAGCCTTGGGACTTGACAGGTGGGAGGATAGGCAACTCTCAGGGTTTGAATCTTCAATTCACTTTTCTAGGCACTGGATTCTTCTTTGGGGAATAGTCCTGGTATGTCACTGGTTTAGGGGTTCAGGCATCTCTTGTCTTCCAATAGAATTTCTCAATCACTCAGGCTGTGGCTCACTTGGCAAGTCAGGACATTCTTGCTCATTGTAAAAAATATTATCTCCTAGAGAGAAAGCTCCTGGATAAAAATAGAAAGAACAGAGGCTTGAGAGATGTACAGGTATTTAGGCACTTGCCATGCATGTTGCCAACCCCAGTTCAATCTTGAACACCACATACTGTCCCCCAAGGAGGACTTCTAGCCATGCCCCCTGAACAGAGCCTGAAATAAGCCCTAAGCACAGCCGGGTGTGGTCCAATTCAAACCTTTCCCCAAAAGCCCCTCCCCCCAAAAAGAAAGAACAAGGCAGTTATAAGCAACTAGTTCTTTCTTGCTTACTTTGGTTTTCCTGCCTAGCTTTTTTTTAATTGTTCTTATCACTTGTTCCCATTCCTTCTAGTCAATAACAAAGCTTGGGCTCAAATGAATCACTCAGGTTCTTGAAATAAAAATGGGCAAGTTATTTGACTGGGTCCCCAAATTTCACTTGGTTTTCATTAAAAGCCATGCCCTTCATAGTATCTTGAGTCCAGATTAGTCAGTATCTATGAACTTCAGACACAGAATTTTCTATCTGCCATGTTAATTGCCCATAGATCCAGGCCTAGTTCCCTGAGCTGTCTTTGCTCCCTAAATATTTTTTTATTCCTTTTGCCCCAAAGATCCTCCTCAAATCCTGGTTTCCCTTGCCACATTCTCTCCCATCCCATTCCCCTATCTTTCAGCCTGTTCATTTACCCACAATCCATCTCTCTAAGCTATCTGTTCTTTGAATTCTATTTGTGGGGCTCACAGAGATAGTACAGTGGTTAAGGCACATGCATGTTCCTGGCCCTGGACTCAATTTATGGCACCACACGGTCCTCTCACACTACTGGGTGCAGCCCTAGAGCCCCCTGAGCACTTCCGGGGGGGGGCAGGTGAGTCCTGGCACTGCAGAGTCAAAGCAACAGTGTCCTCAAGCCCTTGCATTGAACCACTGGCCCAGTTGGCTGAGATTCTTAGAGGTGGAGAAGATGGAGCTGAGCCTCCTGAGTACTACTTGAGAGATTCCCCAGCATTCTGTTTTTTTCATAAGTGTAACCCAGTGAGAGCAGGGGCCTTTTCCTTTATTTTTCTTTTATGAACATTTTAAAGTAAACATTATAAAACTCATATATGAAAAACTTGTTTAAGATGGTAGGATAATCCTCTCTCCTGTTGTCTTATTCCTCCCTAGAATTTATATAAAAGATGTTTTAAGAATCAATAAATATATGATCATGGTAAAAGATTATAGGTATGTGGAGTTGAGTTTAAAGGATAAAACAAAATCTCCCCTTTTTCTTCACTCTGCCTCCCTACTTATCTCCCACTGCATTCCCATTCAATTCCCAGAAGCAGTCAGAGTTCAAAGTTTGACATTGCATCTATCTAGAATCTTTTGTAGGAGCAGGATAGAGTAGGCACAAAAGAGTGAATTGCTACTGGCCGTCCCTGCTCAGAGGAATAATTTCCACCTCCATAGCATATCCAGAAGCCACTAGAGTGAATACCTCTGTCTTGTCTCCCTCCCTGCAGACTACATCCAGTGAGAACATGAGAGATTTTGCCACAACCTTAAAGAACAAATTTCGCTCAAAGCATTATTTCAGCAAACATCCTCAGCGGGGTTATCTGCCTGTGCAATCAGTGCTAGAGGCTGACTACAGTGAAACGTGAGTAGCTGTGACTTGAGCAAGAGCTGTGGGCAATCTCACTGTGCCAATGGAAGGGGCTAAGATGCTGAGTCAGAATTGGGTCAAAGTAATGTTGTAAGACACTCTTGGTAAGGAGATATCTGTCTGATCAGGAATCTGTCCTGAAAAAGAGACTAGACTCTATTCACTGTATCCTATCCCCATCAGCTCTTGCCCAACTCCCTAACTTGATGCTGGTGGGTGGCAGTATGAGTGGTGGTGGTGGTGTTGGTGGTGGTGGTGGTGGTGAGTATATAGGCTTTCCAGATGACCAGTCTCTAATTCTCTAGTCTCTGCTCCTTTCTTCTAGGCCAGCTTCTTCTCCGATGTTACCACATGCTGACACACATTCCCGTATTGAGCATTTTGCCAGCAGGTACCATCAGGTTTGGGGAAGGGATACTGTGGGCAAGGGGCTTGGAGTCAGGGCACAGAAAACAGCCAAATGGAATATGTATTGTAGGAGTGGAAGCCAGGGAGTCTTATTATTTAAGAGTGGTTGGGGCAGCCTCCTAAGCAGATGATTTTGTTGTGGAATTCAAGTCCTTGAGATGAAATTAGGCCATCTATCCTGTTTTCCATTCTGTTCCTGTTCTTTCTTCCTAGACTTGCTGAAATGGAAATTCAAAATTGCTCCTTCTTTAATGACAGCCTGTCCCCAGATGATAGCATGTGAGTTTTCTCTGCTGTTTATTTCTCAAGAACAGCTTTCCATGGGTTTCCTCTCCTAACATTTTGTGGTGTGTGTATGTGTGTGTAATATCCTCAAGGCGTGGTCCTTGTCTCAGGGTAATTGATGCCCTAAAGAAGAAAGACTAATTTCTGGGCACAGTATTTATTAAGAGAAGTAGTCTGTTCTCTATTAATTGAGCTAGAGTATGAATGAATGATCCCCCTGCCATCTACTCATGTCTTCCTGTTGCTAGATTCCTTTATTCTAAGCTCAACTTAGGTGGGTGGAGAATATGGCCTCATCTGAAACTGCAGAAATGAGGCACCATCTTATGCTGAAGATGCCAAAATCCCATCCCATGCAAGGGAATTGACTGAAATAAAGCTAGGAAGAAACCCTGGTGCTATATCCCAAAGACGGAGTGTTTCCTCTGTAGGGCAGTCCCTAGACTCCTGGACTGCTCAGAGGGCCTAGGAATTCCTAGATACTTGTATCAACCTGGCCCTGACTCATACTCAGAGAAGCAATGACCTCTCTGTGATTGGAGAGGGAAAAAGGGAAGAGCAGTGGGTGGAGAGGAACGATAAAAAATGGGAAGTCATTGGGTCATTGTTTCCCAAAGAACATTTAGTGGAACCCAAAAGCTCCTGAAGTACTCTCTCCTAGTACTATCTTTACTTACATTCCTTATAATCCTAGAAATATAATCTTTCCTCTTTCCATCAGAAGTGAGTCCTCTAGCATGCTTCTCATGGGGCCTAAAGTTTGGATCTAAAAACTCATGCCCTGAACTGTTCTCCTCAGTTTAGTGGCGCATTCATTGGCTTCTTTTCCTCTCCCTACACCCATGCAGAGATGAGGACCAGTATCTGCTGCGGCACTCCAGCCCCATTACAGACCGGGAGCCAGCCTTTGGACAGGAGGCTCCATGTAGCATGGCCAGAGAAAGCAAGGGGGAGCTTGAGAAGATCCTGGCCCACTTAGAGGATGAGAATCGGTGGGTATGGCATTAACATAGTCTGGTGTGTGTTCAAGACTCAAAAAGCTTGAATTCAAAGCCTGGCACTTCCACACTCCAGTTTTGTGACCCTGAACAAATTTCTTATATTCTGTGATTCTGTGTCCTTATCTGTAAAATGGAAATGAAAGTAATAGTACCCATCTCTTAAGAGTCCCCTCTTGAAGACCAAATGAGATCAGGCATATATTGTTTGCTTGTAGTGAATGTTCTATAAAGGCTGTTTATTCAAGTTCTTATTCAACACAAATATTTCCAAGCACCCACTAGACAGAAGCAAAAGGAATACAAGCAGGAAACGCACAAGACAATATGGCATGTCCTTGCCCTCATGGAGCTTTCAGTGTTGAAAATGGAAAGAGATGCATATCACTTTGTGAGACTAATCAAAGAAGAGAAAAGTGATACTGCATAGAGTGTTTGAAGAACGGAAGAGAGAAGATGAAAATTACATCAATCTCCATAAAGTTCAAGGGCATCAGGGGTATGAAGAAGATCCAGAACACTTAGGGGGTACAGTAGAATCTCCAGTATCACTTAAAGCATTGCTTGTCACACATCTGTATACATACAAGTCACTTGGAGAATCCAGTAAAATGCAGATTCTAATTTACAAGTCTAAAGTAGGGCCTGAGTTCTTACATTTCTAATTATCTCCCAAGAATGCCCACATTGATGATCGATAGACCAAGTCCTTAAAATAGGGCCAGACTACAAAATGTTTATTTTTAGTTCAAGAGAAGAAAAATAGAGTCTGTGGGATGTCAAGGAGCAAAGTGCCTTTCTGCAGCCATGAGGCCACAAGTTTGATCCCTATTGCCATCCACTTGTGTAAAGTATGGTCCTGGTGACTCTGCTGTCTAGGATCACCCTCCAGCATCACAACAGAGAGTGCAATAACTAGAGTATTTTGGTCAGGTATGTGTGCAACTTTAGTTGCAACTAAAGTATGCAACTCTTGATGACAACTGAAAGATGTAGTAGTAGTAGTACAGGCAGGAGTGCAACCCCCAGAGAGCACTGCAATCCAAATATGCATAAGCATCACAACTATAAGTGAGCATCACATACAAGTGTGTGAACATCACTGGAGGGTCTATGTGTGACCCCTCATCATCACAACAAAGAAAGGGAAGGTGTTGAAGAGATAGTACAGCTGGTAAGGCACTTGTCTTGCATGCAGCTAACATGGGTTCAATCCCTGGATCCTCATATGGTATCCCAGGGTCCACCAGGAATGATCCCTGAGCACAGTCAGTGTGCTCCCCCACCAAAAAAAAAAAAAAGAGAGAGAGAAAAGGGGAAAATAAAATAAAATAATAAAAATGGTAAAGGTAAAAAAAAGGTAAAGGCCCTCCCGTTGATCTTCGATTTGCTCGAGCGGGCCCAGTAACGTCTCCATTGGATACTTTGTTGTTACTGTGTTTGGCATATTGAATAGGTCACAGGGAGCTTGCCAGGCTCTGCCGTGCGGGCGAGATACTCTCGGGAGCTTGCCGGGCTCTCCGAGAGGGGCAGAGGAATCGAACTCGGGTCGGCCATGTTGGCCGCGTGTAAGGCAAACGCCCTACCGCTGTGCTATCAGGAGAGCCTATCAGGAGGTGTGCTATCAGGAGCTGTGCTATCAAGAGAGCTATCAGGAGGGCTGGAGCGAGAGCCCGGCAAGCTACCGAGAGTATTCGATATGCCAAACACAGTAACAACAAAGTCTCCAATGGAGACGTTACTGGGCCCACTTGAGCAAATCGACGATATAATAAAAATGATCATAGCAAAAATAGAAAGTTGTCAGAAACTTTTAGAACAAATTGATACTGCCCTGACAGCCAAACACATCACTACTGTACTTACCTTCATCAAGGAGTTCAAGATCAGGTTGAATGTTAATGAATTTGTGTACGTTGTGTACTATGAGCATTCAAACCACAGAATGGCCCACAATGAATTGAAAAATCCCTCTTGGTTTTTAAAATACAGTCTGAGAAACACTGCATTAGAGCAACAATGGCCTTGAGAAACACCGAGCACAGACTGACTCTGTTGTCAAAAAAGTAGAAGTAGTGTTCTACAAAATAGATGATCTCTTTTGACATCTGTTTGATGATTCAGTACAAGTTTACAAAGTGGGCCAGAAAACAGTGTTATGGAGAGAAGATATAAGATAGATGACCTTTAGTTTTGGTTATATCTTCTCTTGGATTATTAAATTTTAAAAATAGGACTGGCAAGTCAGTTGCTCTAATACTTCATTTATTTGCAGACTGTATTTCTGCCTGATTTTAAGGTCAGAATTAATCTCTGAAGCAACATATCAGAGCGCTGAGGCATTTGTGATATGAAATACCAGCTCTCTGCTCTAAGCCCTAATAATGGGAGAGTAAAGGACTGTACTGGGGAAGAAGTGCTGCTCAAGTACAAACATGAATAGGGTGGGGACTGTAGAGCAAATGGATTGCCCGAATTTCAATAAGAAGGGGCCAGTGATCTGGACAATCAATTCCCATTAGGATCACAGGTCCTGGCTTTTCTGTCTTTGTTAGGATTCTACAGGGAGAGCTGAGGCGTCTGAAGTGGCAACATGAGGAGGCTGCTGAGGCCCCTACCCTGGCCGAGGGCTCTGCTGATGTGGCACAAGATCACCGCAACGAAGAACTTCTGGCAGAAGCCCGAATCCTTCGGCAGCACAAGAGCCGCCTGGAGACACGCATGCAGATCCTAGAAGACCACAACAAGCAGCTAGAGTCCCAGTTACAGCGCTTAAGAGAACTTCTCCTGCAGGTGAAGCTGGAAGTTAGAAAAAGGACCAGGGAGCACTTGAGTGCAGGGTGGGAGTTGAGATGGTGCTGGTGGGGAGATGCAGGGCACAGAGCACAGCAAAGTGGAGGAAAGAAATTAGTGAATATTGGTTGACTTTCTGAAGAGAACTGGGCTGGCAAATGGGGGAGAGGGGAAGAAAAGGGGTGGGTTATGTCATATCATTTGGCCTATTCTATTTGGCCTATTCTATTCTATCTAACTTCAACCCCATTCCTGCATGTTGTTCTGAGACCACTGTGAGGCTGGGCACAGAAATGGGGGAACTTTCTATGGCTCACTTTCCCATAACCCATCTGAACCCAGTATGGAGAAAACAAATTTCAGAGAACTGGTCAAAACATTGATGTTTGCTACCATGATGTTTGCTGGAAATAAGCAATTTAGACATGTTTGGCAATAGAAAGACTGGATGACAATAGAGCTCTTGCTCCTTCCTCTCCCTTTCATCTAGAGGTAATGTATATGATGTAGTGTAGCTCTGAAATCAAGCAGCCCTCTTTTGAGTGTGATCCTGCCATTCGTGGCTGTGGGGTTTTAGGAAAGTAAATCCAGTTCCCTCAATATACACCAAATTGATGGAATGGTGAGTTCAGTACATAAAATGAGATAATGTATTTAAAGAATTTGGAATAATGCAAGTAATACAGTAAGCCCTTCATAAATGTTACCTAGGATTACTGATGATGGACTAGGTCATATCACTCCCTGACTTTTCCCCACAGAGCCTCTAGGCACTGATGGACAAACTCCCAGAGTCCATTAATATATACCATGAACTAAGGATCAGGTGTGTAACCTGATATCTCCGAAAAGTAATAGATTATAAAAAGTTCTAGGCTGGAAAAACAGTACAGGTGTTAAGCTGCATGCCTTACATGCAGCTAACCCTGGTTAGATCCTGGTTCCCTGAGCACCACCTGGAGTAATCCCTGAGCACAGCTGAGTGTGGCTCAAATGCCGCCCCTCCACCCCTGCCCTAACAAAGCTTAATTATAGGTGAGATCGCACCAACTGGGTGCAGTACCATCTTTATAAGAACCTGGGAACCTTGAATATATGTTGTTGAAAGAACAAAGTTAACAGATAATTAAATATTTGAAAACTTTTAGATTGCACAAAAGCCTCTTAAAGGTCAAGGGCAAAGGGATATCCAGGAGGTATCTCAGGTTCCTTCTAAATGCAGTAGTCTGCCAAAGCAAGGCTGGGAAGACAGAGTCACTTAAGTTCTGCCTTACTTCTTACCAGCCACCCACCGAATCAGATGGCAACGGCTCTGCAGGATCATCACTAACTTCTTCTCCACAGCAGTCAGAAGGAAGCCACCCCCAGGAGAAAGGACAGACTACTCCAGACACAGAGGCTGCAGGTGGGTTCCCTAGCCCCTCCCGGGGTTTGCCCTTCAGCTATAGGTTTGTCTTTTAGCTGGCAGTGTTCTACCCTCGCCCCTTGCCCTGATAAGGGAACCGCTAGTTTTCTTTCCAAATCTTTCTTTTTTTCTACCTCAGATGATGTGGGGTCAAAGAGTCAAGATGTCAGTCTGTGCTTGGAGGACATCATGGAGAAGCTCCGCCATGCCTTCCCCAGTGTGAGAAGCTCGGATGTTACTGCCAACACTCTGCTAGCCTCTTGATGGAGCCAGCCCCCCCATCTTGTAGCCCACCTTCCTCTCCCCTTTCTGATCAAAGCCTTCCCTCAGCCTTCACCCAACCTTCCCAGTCCCCACTGCCCCCACATTTCTCATCCAGAGTTATTTGAGCTTCCAGCAGCAGAGAGATCTGGTGGGACGTGAAGTGGGTGAGTGGGTGCTGGAGGTGGGAAAGGAATGATTCCTCTGATTCTAGAAATCACGTGCCCATTAATATTCTAGTTTAAGCCTGGCTCCTTTTGCATACTTCTGTGCCAGCGCAGGCAAATATCACTTGGTAGTCATGCAGATGGGGAAGCACACAAGCTTCCCTGTGATGTGAAGCAGTGCCAATTTGGTATCTCCATATTCTGTGATTGTAGCATTAACCACAGAAGTTAGCCTGCTCCCTGGCCCAAGTCAGAGAGGCAAAATGGTATTTCCAAGACACCCCAATTCTAAAAGTGCCCCTGAAAAAGCCCATCATTACTTCAGCTCCAGGCTATTTTTCTCTCCATATTGAACTACTTGGATGTCTACCCCATAAATAGCTTCAGGATCTCAGGGCCTGGCAGACCTTCTTCAAGAAAAGAACCATCCTTTCTGACTTTTCCTTCCACCCTACTACTGGGAACATTAAAGAAAAAACTTCTGGGCTTATATTTTTGCCTGCCACCCCACCTCAGCTTCCTCTTTCCTAAAGACATCAGCTTCTGGATAGACCAGCTGGGTTGCTGGGGAAACTGGATAAAGTCACACATGGCTCTTTAGGCTCTTCAGGGGTCTGTGCTGAGAGCCCTGGGAGCGGGGCAGCTCGTTCAACACAGAGGTCTTTCCTTAGGACAGGGAAGGGAAGCCACTCTGTAACTTAGAGAAGGGTGACCTCCCAACCCCCATTAATTATGTAATTCTTTTTTCTCTTGGTTGAATCAGATGAGCTGCTGAGTGTCCCCAGCTAAGCACAAAGCAGATACATTCAGCCACCCTGATAGATGTCCTTTTTCAAGTGAATGCTTTCCACCCAGAAAATAGCAAGATCTTCCTTTGCCTAAAACTGGTCTTTCTGGGGGCTGGAGTGATAGAAAGTGGGGTAAGGAGCTTGCTTTGCATACAGCCAACACAGATTCAATCCCTGGCACCTCTTGTCTCCCAAGCCCCACCAGGAGTAAGCACTGCTGGGCAGGGCCCCCAAACAAACACAAAACCCTGGTCTTTCTAACTCTGGAAGGTGAACCCAATTCTCAAACTAAACTAACTCTTACTAGGCATATGCCTGAATTCTTTTATTCAAAAAACATTCAGTGTAGATATTGAGGGGCGACAGGGCCAGGCTGAGGAATACTGGACAGAGTCAAAGCCCACTTAGGCCACTTTATATCAAAAGGAGCTTTATAACCTAGAGCCATATCGTTGACTTAATTTGTCTAAGTTTATATACATATATAGCTACTGTATATCAGTACTCTCCTGGCCTCACTCACACATTAAATTCTAATACCTCTTGAAGAATTAATGTTCTGCCTTCATCTTTGTTAGCCCTAACCCCTGGTTGGACAGGTAAACGTATCCTGCCCTTTATTCCCCTATGATGTATTTCCATTCATGTTTGGGGCTAGCTGTCTTCGAGAACAAAGCAACAAGAAGCTTGTGGCTTTAGAGGAATCTAACAGGAAGGGTTCGTGTGTTGTCTTGTTCATTCCAAATCTTATTCCCTTAAGACCTGGGCCTTGGATAAATTTCCCCAAACTCTTCTTAGCAATGGTTCAAGTGCCAACAGAGAGCAACTCCAGCTCTACTCAGACAATGTAGAAATGAAGAAATGAATAGGCTTTGATTAACCTTTACCACACTAAGAGACAGAATTCATCTGATAGCCTCTTCCAATTCCTGGGTCTGGCTCAGAGCCTTAATGAAAACAAAAGTTGTCATCAAGGTCACGAGGTGGGAGAAACTGGTAGAACTCTGGTAAAAATCAAGCAATAGTTCAATGGGTAGAACTGCTTGGAAGCTAGATTTACCTCCTGCAGAAAAGTGAGTGGGCAGTGGTTAGGTCCAGAAACCTAGGGTCTCTTAGAATCCCAAAGCCTATAAAACCACAGGTCCAGGGTGTCAGACTTCATCACACATCTACCTTAGTGCTCATAAAGTCTCTGGGCAGAGGACTGGGTGTCTGGTGATTGAGTAAGCAAGTAATAAACAGGTGGGCATCAAACACAAAGCCTGGCATCCATCCATGATGGAGAGGGACTCAGAGCTATACTTGTAAGGGCCTTGACTGCGGATAGGTATGGAATAGAAAAAAATTCTATAGGGGGAGATATCAGGATTGGTGAGGCACATACCTGCCTAAGAATTAGGAGGGCAAATATTTCAACAATAGTATGACAAGAAAGTCCTGGAAAATCCTTTTCATCATATCCACTCCGCCCAAGATATGTGGGACTGCTGAGAGCCTGTGGCATGTTTAAAAAATGCAGATCTTGTCATGTAGGAATTGTGCTGTAGGTGGACTGAAGCAGCAAGTCGAGAGTTGATTCTCCTTAATGGGGCCACTGAGATGTTGTGGGCCTATGTTTACCTTAATGACCTGATGGTGAGTATGTTGCCTGAGGATCCAGTGACAATCACTTTAGCAAGTGTGGGCAGTTTGCCTATAGAGAGGTGAATAGGTCCTTGGGTACTGTGAATCCAAATTAGGGTGGGATTTACTGAGATGTGTTGTTTGTATTTAGGGATCTGTCATGTCTCCTAGAGGTACTGTGTGTGATGCTGTATCGTTTCTGGCCCTGTACTTCAAGGACAAGGAAGGGAGTTGCTGGGGAGGCATACTAAGGAAAACCTCTGACTTGTGAGATTAACATCTGTGATAAGGAATGTGAGCACCTGGTGGGGCTGTGTCAAATGACATCATGGAACCATGAGAAGTGAGAGACCTATTCTCAACAGACTGTGACTGAGTGCCCAAAAGCCATTAAGACGCTGTCTGTCCTTGTAGTGAGAGCAGAGTGGAATCATGTTGACTGGAAAAAATTTCAGGGAAGGCTGACTGGCTCGAAGCCCTCAGGCTATTTATTATAGTTTCTGAAGAAGGCACCCACGTAGGAGATTATGTACCCTTCCCTCCAGCATGGAAATGCTGAAATCAAGACTCTCACATGCCCATTTCCTTCAAGGTTCAAAGTTTGGGGATATATCCAGGAGAGGAATCTGTTTGACTTCCCTATCTCTGAGACTAGGCAGATGCCAGTCCTGGGAGATGTATTTCCCCTACATCCTTAACACATTCTCAACGGCAGATAATGAGTTTTGAGACAATTTGAGGCCAACAAGCTTGTGAAAGTTCTCTTGACATGGGGGACCAGCAGTAGCTACTTTCGGTCCTGGGAGAGAAACTGGGTATCCTGCCCAAAAGCTGGGGGAATTTAACTGCTCAGCTGGACCTTCCTGCCAAAATCTGGTAACAAAGGAATATTTCAACTCCTTCTTGCTCTTTTAACATCAATGGCTAGGGGTGAGGGAAAGGTTTAAGGTCAGCACGTAGGTCCCACCCTCTCACAAAGTGTGAGAGACTTGCTGAATAAATGCCCTTGCTGTCCCCAGGGCAGTACTGAGACCATACTAAAACCTGCTATGCTGCTTGCTAGCTGCAAGAACTGGTCATGAGGATGGGAGCTGGGGAAGGAATTGAGGGAGGTGGCAAGAGTTGCATACAAGTCTAAAAGACTTTGGGAGGGGCAGGGCTGGAAATGACTTGGTTAACTTTGATTGCCACTCACTGTGGTGCTTTCCCCCTTTTCCTTGACTTCTGCTTTGAAAAGAATAAATTTGTATTTGTTTATTTTGGTTCCTCTGGTGATATTCCACAGCCTTTCTGGATTTGGATGTGGGAAGAGACTGGGCAAAGCCAAAGGAGCACTACAGAACATAGGTGACCACCAGAGTAATCCAATCCTTCCAGATATAACACACCCCTACCAAGCACCTTCACCACGGTTAGTTGGAGTAACTCTGAAGACACCAGACAAACTAAGTGAGCTAGTTATCTGCTCAAAGCATGAACTTACTATAGCAATAGTTCTGAAATAGCCTCATCAATGTAAGGAATTTTTCACCAGCTGCAAGCAATGTCCTGAGAAAAGTCAGGAAAATTAAGTGGGTTTCTACAAATTCAGTTTAAACTCTTATTCAATTTAAACATATATACATATATGTACAAGTATTTAAAAACTATTATGAGCAATTCACAGGGATATTTTATCACCGTCTATATATTTAGCGAAGTGATAAAATATCCCTGTGAGGTGGTGATCACAGTGTTTTTTTTAATGTCATTTCCTGGCGAAATACAACCCTGTCAGCTCCTCTTCCCCTTCACCAGTTTTTCTTTTCTCACCAATCTGTAATCGCACTGTCCAGTAGAAATGTGGATAAAAGTCACATTTGTGATTTAAATTACTCTGCTATCAATGTTAGAAATAAAAATTAATAGCTAGGGCCTGCGGGTGGCTTAGAAGACCTGCCTTGCAAGTGTGAGGTTATGAGTTGATACTCCAGCGCTGCTGTAGGGGTAGAGTCAGTCAAGATAGTTGTGCTGCTTATATCTGGCCACTCTGTTGTCTGTGGTTCCTGGAACTGCAGGAAATTTCCAGCTACACTTCTGTAGCCAAGAGTACAAGACCACTGAAACTAAAATTTTTGAAAAAAGACATGTCAGTACCACAGTCAGGAAGCACAACCCCTTGTGAGCACACATGTGAGTGCTGTACCCATCCCTGGTGAACACTATCAGAATGTGTACAAGCACAACTGAAAGGAATATGATTCCTAGTAAGCAATATGACTAAATGTGGAAATAGCACAGCTAGGTGTGTGCATGATCCCTGCCATTGCAACAAACAACATAAGACAGGGAAGAGAAGGGTAGAAAACTTACTAAAACAAGCAAAATTAAATTAAATAGTATATTTTACTTAACCCCATACACCGAAAGTATCATTTCAGAGGCCAGAAAGATAATACAATGGGTAGGTGAAACACCATGAGGTACAGTTGTAGACTTACAAATTTTTGTGCTTGGGTTTCAGTTATACAATGATTGAGTACCCATCCCTCCACCAGTGCCCATTCTCCACCACCACTAATCCCAGTATCCCTCCCACCCCTCATCCCCTCATCCCCTCATCCCACCCTGCCTCTGTGGCAGGACATTCCCTTTTGTTCTCTCTCTCCTTTTGGGTGCTGTGGTTTGCAAAAGAGGCATTGAGTGGCAATCATGTTCGGTCTATACTTTCAGCATGCATCTGCCATCCTGGGTGGATCTTCCCAACACCCTTTATTTGGTGCTCCCTTCTCTATCTGAGCTGCCTTTATCAATGGGTAGGTTCTTGCTTTGCATACATCCAAACTGCGGCCAGTCCCTGGCATCCCATACAGTCCTTCACTCACCTAGGAGTGTTCCCTGAGCACAGAGCCAGGAATAAGCCCTGAACATTGCTGAGTATGGCCCATAAGTCAATATATAGACATATATATGTATATATACACACATACATAGTTTTAACATGCAATCAGTATAAAGCAATGATAAAAGGAATATTTCATATATTTTCTTTATTTTTTACTAAGTCTTAGAAAATGTCAAACACTAGCTATCTCCCCTCTGGAGGCTACATTCTC